GGAGTTGGAGGTTGCTGTGAGCTGTGATGCCATGGCACTCTACCCAGGGGGATAGCTTGAGGCTCCGTCTCAAAAAAAAAAAACACTATGTGGTGGACTTAAGAAGAATACAAAAGATCTCAATTCCTGAGCCTCAGAGGGGAAGGGGCTCACCTTGGAACAGCCAGGCGTAAAGGCCCCAGGAACTCCAAACAGCACACCCTTCTTGCCCTTGAACAGTTCTGCCAGGTTCACCTTGTTTCCTGGCTCACCTTCAAACACCTCCACATGGGGGATAGCATCTCCCACCTAGAAGGAAGGACACCACAATGAGGGTGGGTAAGGAAGCCAGGAGGGAAATAGCTTGGTAGCTATGCCTGCTGGAAAGATTAAAACCCAGCAGAAAATTCCAGCCCTGTCAGAGTTTCCAAAGGTCCCTCCCTGTCTTCCTCTCCCACATTTGGTTACCCCACATCCTCAAGGTTTCAAGGGGCCCTGCTCCTCTTAAGAACCCATTGATGGCAACAGAGAAAGAGATAAGGCCTCCCCACATGTCGCAAGAGATTGCACAATAAGTTGTCTAAGTTACTGGAAAGGGGTTGGATAAGTAGCCAGAGAAGGGAGACAAAGGAGGCTGTGACAACAGGGAGGGATCCTGGGCAGGCTCAAGTGTCTCACCCTCAGGAAGAGGAACAGCAGCAGCAACAGGGAAAATTAGGGGAGATGTCCAGGCCCCTACACCCAGGAGATGTAGAATAAAGAAGGAATTTCCTGAAGGGGGAGGCAACTATCCACCTGCCTGGAAGTGTGTGAGGGCTTTGAGGGGCCAGGACAGTAGACAAGAGGGGATGTCAGAGGTGGGGGAGAGTCTCTGAGGATCCCAGAGGTTGGGAGTAGAACGAAGTAGAAGGTAAATTGGGGGAGAGTCTCAGCAAAGATTGAGAGAGCAATGGGACAGGGTCCAAGGAGCTGGAGATGGTTCCAGAAGGGTGGGAATTAGCCATAAAAGAAAGAAGGTCGTGGAGCGGAATGGGAGAAGACGCCATGGAGGCACTAAGGGACAACTGTTTCAAAAGATGGGGTGAAATAATGCCCAGTACTAACACAAAAGCAAGGACGGGGCGTGGGTACGGTGGGGGACAAAAAGTAGGGAGGTAGAAAGGGGCCCAGGGCGGAGTAAGAGGTTCTAGATGAGGGAGGCCGCGACATTCAATCGCCTGAAAATGGTGGCAACTTATCACTGAGTGTCTCAGGACCAATGTGAAGGGAATCCAGAGGAGAGCTCGAAAGCCTTGGGCCTAAGGGGGCTTGCGGAGGGGATGAGCGGGACAGAAGGGTCTCTAAGGCGGCGGAGAGGAGTCCGGTGGCCAGGAAAAAAGGCGACCCCCTCAGAGGAGCTGGGCAAGGGCTGGCAATGAAAAGAATGGAGGAGTGGGAGGTCGGGGGGCTGGGCAGCGGTCACCTTGATCGGGGCCATGGCTGCGGCGGCGCTGCTGAACCTGTGGGCCCTGCCAGGCACCCACCCTTCTGCTCCTTTCGGCTGCGGTCTTGCTGCCGCCGCTGCTGCACCAGCGAGTAGAGAGCCAGTTCGGCGTCTCAAAACGAATAGCCCACTCACTCCCATACCCGCAGCGTGACCACAACTACTCCGCCCCCAGCCGAGGCCGCCCCAGAAGGCGGGGCCTGGCTCCCGCCGCAACGTCGACAGCGGCGCAAAAGACAGGGCCCAGCCCCGGGTCGAACTCCTGCACTGCGCAGGCGTGAGCCGCTACACACCCACCAAGCTGCCGGGATTCTAGGCTCATTTATATTGGGGGCTGAGTCGCTGACGCAATTACAAATGGGGCGAGGCCGCGGCAGTAGCGCAGATAATTTGCATTCAAGGGTGAGGTGTCGCTGTGTTTCTGGGACTAATTTACCCTCCGTTCCTTAACTGGAGGGGAGGGAGAGATGATCTCAAGGGCCTGTGTATGAGCAAAATAAGTTTACTGTGCATCCAATGAGAGCCCCTGCATTGCAGCTGCTATCACTTGCATTCTACTTATGGTTTGTAGAGAATGGGGGCTGAGTCAAAGCCAGTGGGCATGCGCAGTGGCAACCTCGCACAGACGCTTCCGGTAGCAACACATGACCCCACAGGTCTTTCGCTTACCTGCTTCGGTCCGGCTTGCGCGAGAAGTTCCAGCAAGTTCGCCACTTCCGGTCCTCCGGCCCTCGGATAACATAGTAGAGCAGCCCCGGAAGTGACCAGACAGGGAGAACTCCTTCCGGTTCCGGTCTGGCGAGCGCTCATTTGGCGACATGAAACTGCTCACTCACAACCTGCTGAGCTCGCATGTGCGGGGGGTGGGGCCCCGTGGCTTCCCCCTACGCCTCCAGGTAAGATCCGGAGCGATCACTCCCCTCTCCTGGGTGGGATGGGGAACTGGGGTTCGGTCCCCGCCTAGCTACATCCCTCCGCCTGCAGGCCACCGAGGTCCGCATCAACCCCGTGGAGTTCAACCCTGAGTTCGTGGCGCGTATGATACCCAAGGTGGAGTGGGCGGCGCTCCTGGAGGCAGCTGATACCGTGAGAACCCTCCCCCGGCCCGTGCATGCCCTGGGAAGTGGGGACGGGCACACCGCAGCCTCTAGAACCGCGATCCGGAGCCCGGCCTGAGGTGAAGGGTCGCGGATGCCCTGAGCTGACAAAGGTCTCTTGCCCACCCACAGTTGCACCTGGTCGAGGTGCCCAAAGAGCCAATTGAGGGATATGAACATAATGAGAAATTTCTGAGGAAGATGCATCACGTCCTTTTGGAGGTGAGAACCGGCCTATGGCTTCCTTTCCCTCCCACCTGCCTCCCACAGAGGCTGCCAGTGTTTAGCTTTGCCCCTTCCCACCCGCAGGTGGATGTGTTGGAGGGCACCCTGCAATGCCCAGAGTCTGGACGTCTCTTCCCCATCACCCGTGGAATCCCCAACATGCTGCTGAATGATGAGGAAACCGAGAATTGACCATGCCAGGCACCAGTTTAACATTTTGCAACTGTGTGTATCTTTGTTGACATACGTGCTGTTTACCATGTATATTTCCAACCCTTGTTCCAATGACATACTGAACGCACAGTGTTCTTGAGCTTGATAGTATATATTTTTTTTTTCATTAAAGGTTCAAAACCAAAAGCGGTTTCTCTTTGCAGCAAATATACATTAAAATAGAGTCTCTGTACAGCCAAGGGCTCTAGGCCCTGGCTTGCCCCATGTCCCTGTGCCTCCCTGGCCAAACCCAAAAATAAATATAGTGTTATTGCTGTGCAGGGCATAGAGGCAGTGCTCTCCCTGCCCACTGAGGAGGCTGGGTGGGAGCTGATGGGGGGACACTGGCCACCCCAGGGGTCCAGGGGCTGGAGCCTGCTTGGAGTTATTGCTTCAAGGGGGGGCACTAATGCCCAATGCAAATGATGAGGAGCGAAGGGGGAAGGGGGCCTTTGCTCTCCAAATGCCCCTCTGCTCTGGAGAGGGGATAGGATTAAGCAGCAGCAAAAGCATCACCCACTGGGAAACTGTGGCCTCTATCCCCTTCCCTCCCTGAGTTCAGGCTTCTGCCTCCCACACATCCCCTGCAGCCCCCTATGGCTTCCGCAAGTACCCCTGCACTCTGGGGGCATGTTATGGCTTGCAAGGGACAGCACTGTGCCCAGAGCCTGAGCATGTATCTTCCCAGCTTCTGACACTCCCTAGGAGGGGAGGGTGTAGGGCCTGCTCCCAGGGACTGATGGCATTGCCTTGGCCCTGCCAGCAGGCTGTGGCACTGCCCAGACTCCAGCTCTGCCCTCTTGGGGCTGACCCCATCCTTGGCAGGTCCTGTAGCACCCCCACCAGTCCCACCCCTTCCCTCAGTCCATCATGGCCTCAAGCATCTCCAAGAACAGCTTGTGCATGGGCACCTTGCCCTCCAGCTTCACCCCGTAGAAATGGGCCAGCACTTTGCCTGCTGTCTGGCGAAGGAGGGGTAGTGTGAGCAGCAGCCTTCCTGCCCGCCGCCGCTCAGCACCCCCTCCGGGGCCTGCCCGGCCAGCTTCATACTCCAGCAGGGCCTCATGCAGGGCTTCTCGCAGCTGCTCCACAGCCTCGGCATCTTCGATGTGCACAGAGTCTGCAAGAAGAAAGAGAACTGTTCACCTGGGCCATCTCTGGAAAGGGCAAAACCCACACCTTGCTTGGGCAATGCCAGATGGGGCCTAATGGGATATCAAACAGATCTGTTGATAGGCTGACTGAGAGGAACCACTCTGCTCCTGCCCTAAGCCAGGGCCCACCCTTCTCCCTCAACTATGGCCACTTCTTACCCTCCCTTCCCTCCCTCTCCCTAAACTATTTACCTTTCCATGTTTGTATGGCACTAGAGTTCAAAATCCTGTGTGCAGTTCAGGGCCTGCCTTTGGCTTGCTTTGTGACTTTCAGCAAGTCATTGTTCTTCCCTAAGCCTCAGTTTTCCTTATCTGCAAAATGGGACTGTGCCACCATCACAGAGTTAAAAACTAAAAGGCCTCATGGAGAGACCGTTCATGCCTGCCCTGGACTCTCACCCGAATTGGCAAGGGCCAGGGCCTTCAGCAGGACATACTCCTCTCGTTCTAGCCGTAGGGCCTGCAGTCGCCGCACCAGTTGCAGAAGGGCAGCCCCCAGTTCCCCCAAGCCAGCTGCCCGTGCCCCCTCTTCATCCAGGACTAGGTCCTCAGCAAAGGCCAGCTCATCCTGTAGTGGCAGTGAACGCTGAGCCACACCCAGCACCAGTACTTCCATCCACACACTCTGCAGTACTGACATTTGGTCAGACAGCGACAGCGATGAGAAGCCTAGAGAGCAGTGGGGAGTAGGCCTGGCCTGAGCAAGTGCACCAGAGCCAGGCATGGCCTGGCCCACTCAGGGAAGCCCCAGGTCACTTAGGCCCTTTACCTGGGATGCTCTTGGCCCAGCTGATAGTAACCACTATCTCTCGGTCAAAGAGGTCACAGAGGGTAGCCACAGCTGGGAGGTGTCCATCAGGGCCAGCTGGGTCAGGCATGGCATATAGCTTTTCAGGCTCAACCACCAGCAGGTGAGACACCAGTGCATTCACCGGGGCTGCAGTGACAGTTGGAGGACTAGAGTCAGGAGCACGCCCATCCATCAGGCCTCAGGGGCCACACATCTTCCCAGAGTCATTCCCCTGTGGATTCTTCTGCAGGGAAGAGTGTTCACTATTTCCCAGGGAAAGGCAGTCTGTTTGTGACAAGCTCTAAACCTTTCCCTGTCCCAAGTTGTACTACTTGGTGTCTGATGTAAGAAAAGGCATTTTTCACATTTCTTGGGGAAAAGAGTAAGAGAAAGAGGAAATCTGGGTCCCAGTGCCCAAGATGACTATTATGCTGGGTGAACAATGCCACAAATAGGCCTCCCATGTCCTAGCTCCACCCCAGCCCTAGCCCTAGAGTCCTAGGGACCCACAGTCTTACCCGTCTTTCGGGGGCCTCCAGCTACTGCCAAGGGCCCAGCAGAGAAGGGGCCTGGGAAGGGTAGTGGGTCCACTTCTGGCCGCCGCTTGTACTTCTGCCGCCCACCCCGGACGCGGTCCAGGCGTACCCCTTAAATTGTAGGATAGGACTGTGACCATGGTGCTGGGCTTGCTCTGCTGAGCCATCCTCCCCAGTCCATTCACCAGAACTTCCCAGACCTTGTCCCCACCCAGCACGTGCACCCAGTGCCCCCCGCCCTTGCCCAGGCCCCTGCCCAGCGCTCACCCTCCTTGAGCATGCCCACCCGCAGGCACTTGGTGAAGCGGCAGGCCTGGCAGGCCTTGCGTCTCCGCTTGGTGATCTCACACTCGTTGGAGGCCGGACAGCTGTACTCAATGCTCCCTGCCAGGAAGAGGCAGGGCTCCAGTGGCGGCCTCCCAGGGCCGGGAGGGGGCCCAGCTGACAGGAGAGCCCTGACTGGCCCAGGGCAAGCACAGGTCTGGGGGTACGGGGAGGAAAGGGAGAGCAGGACGCCATGAGCAGGTGGAGAGGGGAACGGCTGCTGGGCGGAGGCCCTGTCTGGACAAGGAAGGGGCTGGGACCAAGCAGACAGGCTACACCTCTACCCAAAGCCTCTGTTCAACCCACGTCTCTTGGCCACACACTGCCCTCTTTTGCTCTCAAGAGCCATAGTGACCTCTACATCACTAAAGCCAATGTTTAATTTTTGCTCCTCATCTTACTTATCCTAAAACAGTGGTTCTCAACCTTCCTAATGCCGCAATGTATTTTCATTGTTACAAAGGGGTCGCGACCCACAGGTTGAGAACAGCTGTCCTAAAAGGAGCATCTAACACTGCTGATCACTTCCTCCTCCTAGAAACAATTATAAACACTTTCTTTTGCTTCTGAGACACCACATACTCCTGTTTTTTTCCTTACCTCCCTGGCTACTTCATGGGTTTTGTGTGTCTCCCCAGGTTCTCCCACTGAAGAACCCCAGGGCTGTCTGTGCCTTGTTCCGCTCACTCCCAGGCAATCTGACCCAGTTGTGGCACTATCAAATCTGCATCTCTAGCCTGAACTCTAGACTCACATATCCAGCTGCCTCTACATTTTGCATGTCTAGCAGGTAGCTCAACCTTAATATGTCCTTAAACGGATGCTATTTGTCCAGTTGCCCAGGCAGAAACCTAAATGGTAGCTTTGCTGAGAGATTCTGGAGGCCTTTACCTCCTCTTCCTATGTCCAGAATCTAACTCTTGCTGCAGCAACTGCTTCCACCCTTGACCTGAGTCACTGTCACCTCAGCCCTCACTGGCCTCTTGCTGTCCCTGCCCCCTTCAATCTATTCTCAACACAACAGCCAGAAAGTTCCTACTAAACCAATGTCAGGGCTGGGCACAGTGGCTCACACCTGTTATCCTAGCATTCTGGGAGGCCGAGGTGGGCAGATTGCTTGACCTCAGGAGTTTAAGACCAGCCCGAGCAAGAACGAGACCCTATTTCTAAAAATAGCCAGACATTGTGACAGGCCCCTGTAGTCCCAGCTACTTAGGAGACTGAAGCAAGAGGATTGCTTGAGCCCAGGAGTTTGAGATTGCTGTGAGCTACGACACCTTGCTACTCTACAAAAGATGTCAAAGTGAGACTCTCAAAAAAAAAAAAAAATCAATGTCATACATACTAACTTTGGTCTGGCGAGGGGAGGGGGAGAAAATCTATGTCAGATACTATCCATCCTCTGCACAAAACCCTTCAGAGATCTCCCTTCTTACTGTATAAGCCAAAGTGAAACCATGGCCTACAAGGCCTGCACCCTGCTCCCTGTCACCTTTTTGACCTCTGCTCCCTCTCTGGCCTCCTCCATGTTCCTCAAGCAGGCCTTGCCTCAGAGTGTGCTGCTCCAGCCTGGAGCTCTCGTCTTGAAGTCCACACAGGCTCCATTACCTCCCCCTGGTCTCTGTCACCTTGGGGATGCCTTCCCTGGCCACCCTATGGCAAAGCCATACCTCCCAGCCTCTGAACCCTGCTTTGTAGTTTCTCTTAAGCTCTCAGCACCATCAAACATGTTATAAATGTACTTATATATCTTATATATTACTTGTTTCCCCATTTCAGTGGCAGCTCCACCAGGGCAAGGACGGTCCCCAGCACTAGTAACAGGGCCTAGCACATAGCTGCCCTCCCAGCCTCACAGGGTCCCACAAGGACCAAATGACACAACCAGCAACAGGCCATCAGCATGCTTCTCTTCATAGTGTGCTTTCTCCTACTGGGGCTTCTGCACTCAGCCCAAGACACCTCCTCAGGAAGCTCCCCCTCCAGGGCCCAGCTCCAGCCTATTCCCTTAGTACAGACCACAGCAGTAATCAGACAATTGTGTGCAATTCAGTGTTTCCTCATTCTCCCCTTTGCTAGAATATAAACTTCCCAAGGGCAGAGATGGCTCTACCTCAGTCCCAGCTATGTCCTTAGGACCTGGAACTCTGGCCAGGGCAGGAAAACACAGGTGTATGAAGTGCCAAGGGCT